GAGAGAGGGGGAGAGATCAGAGAGAGAGAGAAAGAGATCAGAGAGAGAGGAAGAGATCAGAGAGAGAGAGAGACAGATCAGAGAGAGCTCAGAGAGAGGGAAAGATCAGAGAGAGGGGGAGAGATCAGAGAGAGAGAGAGAGAGAGAGAGAGAGAGAGAGAGAGAGAGAGAGAGAGAGAGAGAGAGAGAGAGAGAGAGAGAGAGAGAGAGAGAGAGAGAGAGAGAGAGAGAGAGAGAGAGAGAGAGAGAGAGAGAGAGAGAGAGAGAGAGAGAGAGAGAGAGAGAGAGAGAGAGAGAGAGAGAGAGAGAGAGAGAGAGAGAGAGAGAGAGAGAGAGAGAGAGAGAGAGAGAGAGAGAGAGAGAGAGAGAGAGAGAGAGAGAGAGAGAGAGAGAGAGAGAGAGAGAGAGATCAGAGAGAGAGAGAGAGATGAGAGAGAGAGGGGGAGAGATCAGAGAGAGGGGGAGAGATCAGAGAGAGAGAGAGATCAGAGAGAGAGAAAGAGATCAGAGAGAGGGAAAGAGATCAGAGAGAGGGAAAGATCAGAGAGAGGGGGAGAGATCAGAGAGAGAGAGAGAGAGAGATCAGAGAGAGAGAGGAAGAGATCAGAGAGAGAGGAAGAGATCAGAGAAAGAGAGAGAGAGATCAGAGTGAGAGAGAGATCAGAGAGAGGGAAAGATCAGAGAGAGGGGGAGAGATCAGAGAGAGAGAGAGAGAGAGAGAGAGAGAGAGAGAGAGAGAGAGAGAGAGAGAGAGAGAGAGAGAGAGAGAGAGAGAGAGAGAGAGAGAGAGAGAGAGAGAGAGAGAGAGAGAGAGAGAGAGAGAGAGAGAGAGAGAGAGAGAGAGAGAGAGAGAGAGAGAGAGAGAGAGAGAGAGAGAGAGAGAGAGAGAGAGAGAGAGAGAGAGAGAGAGAGAGAGAGAGAGAGAGAGAGAGAGAGAGAGAGAGAGAGAGAGAGAGAGAGAGAGAGAGAGAGAGAGAGAGAGAGAGAGAGAGAGAGAGAGAGAGAGAGAGAGAGAGAGAGAGAGAGAGAGAGAGAGAGAGAGAGAGAGAGAGAGAGAGAGAGAGATGAGAGAGAGGGAAAGATCAGAGAGAGGGGGAGAGATCAGAGAGAGAGGAAGAGATGAGAGAGAGAGAGATCAGAGAGAGAGAGAGAGAGGAAGAGATCAGAGAGAGAGGGGAAGAGATCAGAGAGAGAGGGGAAGAGATCAGAGAGAGAGAGAGAGAGAAAGATCAGAGAGAGAGAGAGAAAGATCAGAGAGAGAGAGAGGGAAAGACCAGAGAGAGAGAGAAAGACCAGAGAGAGAGAGAGAGAGAGAGAGAGAGAGATATGAGAGAGGAAGATATCAGAGAGAGGGGGAGAGATCAGAGAGAGGAAGAGATCAGAGAGAGGAAGAGATCAGAGAGAGGGGGAGAGATCAGAGAGATTATTTTTGTACACTTTTCCCCCCATGCAGCTGTAGTTCACTTCTAATTGTGATCTATTAGTGGCATCCAGTACATCCAGCAATAGACAACTATAGCAGTGAACTAGTGCTGAAGGGAAAGGCTGGACAGAGCTGCTACAGCTCTGCCTGAACCTTGGTACTGACAGGAAATGCTGTGATGCCAGCTACAGTCACATTGTAAACACTAGGGGAAAGTGTTTGTACAGTTCGCTCCCAAGGAACAATCTATAGAAGCATGGAAAGCCCAGGAGCTGATCACTTCAGCTTGTGGGTGTGGTGCTGTCATTGACAGCCGGCACTTCCAGTCTAATCCCTGGCTGGGACCTGCAGGAGCCGCTTATTCCCAGTTTCGTATTAAAATGGCGCTGGGAGGACTGGCTGCTTTCCCGGCACCATTTTAAACCAGCACTGGGGACTCAAGTGGTTAACAGTCTTCTGGAAAAATATTTCCCCCATTCAGAACAAGAATCGATACGACCTCCTCCATTTGACTTTTCAGTAAGGCGTTGTCATGTTTCTTCCGCACGTTACACCTTGGTGCTGGGTTTTCAGGTGTACATCGCGGTTTCTTTTTAAGCTAAAAGCCTTCCCACACACCGTACAGGAATAGGGCCTCTCCCCCGTGTGAACTCTTTCATGCGCAATCAGAGTTGACCTCTGCGCAGCCCGTTTTCCACACTCGGAGCAGGCATACGGCATCTCCCCTGTGTGGAGTCTCTGGTGGGCGATGAGTACGGACCTGCGTTTAAAGCTCCTCCCACACTCGCCGCAGGAGAACGGCTTTTCGCCGGTGTGATTCCGCTGGTGTATACGCAGCAATCTTGACTCGGTAAAACCCATCCCGCACTCTGCGCAGACGTGCGGCCTCTCCCCCGTGTGGATCCTCATGTGTGTGGTAACTGACGACTTCTGGCTGAAACACTTCCCGCATTCGGTGCAGGAAAACGGCTTCTCTCCGGTGTGGCTTCGCAGGTGCGAAATAAGCGCTGTCCGGAAGGGAAAGCTTTTCCCGCACTCTGAGCAGTCGTGGGACTTTTTCTTGCGGTGGGTTCTTTGGTGAGATAGGAGTTTCTTTATGGTGCCGAAAAATGTTCCGCACTGGTAACACGAGAGTGTTTCAACACCGCTCGGAGCTGGTTTTTGGGTGATGGTACGTGAATGATCAGGGATAACCGCTCCATTTGCTGGGGCGGCAGGTGATGGATCAGCACGGGGAGGTGCTGGAGGGAGATTTGGGGTAATGGCGTTTTCTTTAGATGAACTGGTAGTGACATCCTCATCTTTGGGTCCTTGTGTTGGAGGTGTAAAGGAATGCTTTTCTGTGTCTGTGTAAAATAAGACACGACAGGGAATGAAAAAGTTAGAGGGCCCAATGTCACTCTTGTCACCAAACTGGTTATATAAAAGGTGGTTAAGTCTGTGATGTTAAGCTCGCCAATACCACCCATCAACGCTGCTGACAAATGTCTGAAACGCACAGCAATAAAGACCTGACAGGGGTTCTAAGCCCTCCCCACTCTACCCAAAACTAAAATAAAGAACTTTGGCTTCAGTTGCACCTTAAATAAAAACTAATTCTCAGACTTAACCTGCTAATGATCGACAGGGTAGGCAACTGTGGCAAAACTACAAATCCCATTAGGCAGAGGCCTCTGGGAGTCATGCCAGTGGCTGTTACGAGTCTTGAAATGCCGCATGGGACTTATAGTTCCAAAACAGCTGGAGTGGCAAGGTTGCCCACTCCTGGTCTAAAGTCCCTCCATTGCAGCAAAAACCTTCATAATCCCATCCTAAAGCATCCAAGTATGCTCACAAATGCTATATATTGACTTTCAGGATCTCTTTTTACTTGCATGATTACCTGCTCTTTACATGTCCTCCAGAATGGAGGCTGAGGACCCCCCAGAGAGTGTGTGTGGGGGGGAGACTGGTCACGTTTCTTGGCTGGTAACACACAATGACATGATGTGAGGAGGAGAGCCGGAGTCTAATAGAGGCTGATGGCTCCTGACTCCCCCCACTAAACACATTCCGTCCCCCCATTCCTGTCTACTGACAGAGGACGGGGGAGAAGAAGAGATTGATGCCCCCTGTACTGAGATGTATGAGACCCCAGAGAGAGTGTGTGGGGGGGGACTGGTCACACACAATGACATGATGTGAGGAGAGCCGGAGTCTAATAGAGGCTGATGGCTCCTGACACCCCCCACTAAACACATTCCGTCCCCCCATTACTGTCTACTGACAAAGGAGGGGGGAGAAGATAAGATTGCTATAGTGACTGAACAAGGAGAATCTGCTGGCTTTAGTGTTCCTCACCTGTGCTGATCTCCGGAGGGATTGCTTTCTTTTTAGTCTGCATTCGCACCTCTGCCTCCTTCTCTGTTCGGACATCTCTCTGAGTGGTTCTGGTGTCTTCAGGGTCTGTGAATAAAGATGAGAGTGAATCCGCCTGTAGTGAGATGTATGAGAGACCCCAGAGAGTGTGTGTGAGGGGAGACTGGTCACGTGTCTTGGCTGGTAACACACAATGACATGACGTGAGGAGAGGCGGAGTCTAATAGAGGCTGATGGCTCCTGACTCCCCCCACTGGAACCCTTCAGACATTTAGAATTTAAACCATTTAATTACCAATTTTGGTGTAAAACATAAACTAAATCAAGAGCAAAGTGTATTACAGTATATCGATTTCTGCCTTAGTTCCCTTTTCCCATCACCTCTGCACCCCTCTGCATTCAAGTTCTACAGGCGAAGGCCATATACACTGTTGCATAATCATCTCTCAGACCTTGGACTACATATCCCAGTATGCCTTGCATGTACACTCACAGGAGGTCTAGGTCAGACCGTGCCTGCATTATGTTCTTGTTTAGTCGGGGGAGAGGTGACAGTTTTAGGCCTTATAGGAAATAGCAATATATATATTATATACTGTGAGGGGGATTTATCAAAACTGTATCATAAAAAATCTGGAGCATAGCAACCAATCAGCTTCTCTTATTCATTTTCAAATCTTAACTGAACAGATTTAAGAGAAGCTGATTGGTTGCCATGGGCAACTGCTCTAGTTTCTGTCTGCTATCTGTCTGATATATACCCAAGTGTCCTCTGTCGCTGGCAGAAACGCCTCACTCCCTCCTACTAGAATGCGCCCCAGTGGCGGATCGGAAAGCTCTCGCATATGTAAAAAATATAGGATATGGGAAATAGGTACAGAGGGCAATCAGACCATCTAATTTATGCGCAGAACTCAGGGTGCATTTCATTTAAATCAAGTCGATTGAAATAAACATTTTTAACTCTGTCCTGCAGCGGCTCTTCCTCTGAACCGCTGTTGACTCACCGACAGTCCCCTTCACTTTAATGGGACGGCTGGTGATGCGGCAGTGACACAACAAGGTGAGGGGCGTGGCATGCAGCAGGGGAGTTGATGCCCACTAGGTGCTCTTTAAATTTAAGGACTCATTCTTGCATGTAGTAAGAATCTTTATTATTAATATTTGCAAACAAAATGAAGGTTTCCTATTTTAGAATAATAAGCGGTCAGGTTAGTAAAACAGCGATATCGGAACCGATTTTAGGTTGACAGGTTAATCACACATAGTTGGAGAACTACTCAAATCATTTTATTTAATTAAAACAATAACGTCATTACATATTCTTGTATTTGCTGAAACATCAATGTTTAGTAACTGAATAAACAAATTACACTATATTGCCAAAAGTATTGGGACGCCGGCCTTTACCCGCACATGAACTTTAATGGCACCCCAGTCTTAGTCCGTAGGGTTCAGTGTTGGGTTGGCTCCGCCCTTTGCAGCTATAACAGCTTAAACTCTTCTGGGAAGGCGTCCACAAGGTTTAGGAGTGTGTCTATGGGAATGTTGGACCATTTGTGAGGTCCGGTACTGATGTTGGAGGAGAAGGCCGTGCTCGCAGTCTCCGCTCTCATTCATCCCAAAGGTGTTCTATCGGGTTGAGGCCGGGACTCTGTGCAGGCCAATCACGTTCCTCCACCCCAAACTCCGCTAACAGGTGACCGCGGAATATTTAGTAGCCAGGAGATTTCACGGATGGACTTATTGCACAGGTGACAACCTATCACGGTACCACACTTGTAGTCACTGAGAGCGACCCATTCTTTCACAAATGATTGTAGAAGCGTCTGCATGCCGAGGTGCCTCATCCTATACACCTGTGGCCATGGAGGGGATTGGAACACCTGAATCCAATGATTTGGAGGGGCCCAATACTATGAGTTTACCAAAAATGTACCGTATATACTCGAGTATAAGCCGACCCGAATATAAGCCGAGGCACCTAATTTTACCACAAAGAACTGGGGGGAAATATTGACTCGAGTATAAGCCTAGGGTGGGAAATGAGGCAGCTACTGGTAAATGTAAAAAATGAAGATAGATACCAATAAAATTACATGAATATTTATTTCAAAGAAAAACAATAACCTAGCTCTGTAAGTGGAAAAGGGGGTCAACAAAAACAATATGGTATCGAAAATACCGTAACTTTAAAAGTACAACAACCTTAGCTCAATCAGCAACCAAGCTAACACACAAGAGCTAAAATCCTTCAAAACTGGAGTTCTCCTCCTCATCATCTGTATGTCCAAACAGCTTCAGCTGGTGTGAGGTTATCAGCATAGACATTGTCATCATCACTGAGCTCACAGTCATCACCATCACTGCTGTCGTTCTCATACAAAGCGCTGTCTTCACTGCCATCCATAGCATTACTAATGCCGCATTTCTTGAAGGCGCGTTGCACCAGGTCCTCTGGAATCTCTTCCCATGCATCACGAACCCACCGTGCTATCAATTCTATGTCTGGCTTCCTCAGATTTCCAGCTTTTGTCAGTCGAGCTTGACCAGAGGACATCCGTTCATGCCACATCTTTCGCACACGGTCTTTGAAAGGTTTATTTAAACACACATCTAGGGGCTGCAATACCGATGTAAGCCCACCTGGAATAACTGCCAAAGTAACTTGAGAAGACTTTGCACATTTTTTTATGTCATCAGATGCGTGGGCTCTGAACATATCCCAAACTAGCAATGATGGTTTTTTCTTTAAGGTTGCTCCTGGTCGTCCGTTCCAAACTTCTTCCAGCCATTTTTTTGTTCCGTCTTCATCCATCCAGCCTTTAATTTGTGCACGCACTATAATTCGTGGTGGGAATTTGACCTTTTTAGGCAAGGTCTTTCTTTTAAAAATAATGACAGGCCGCAGCTTAGTTCCATTAGCCAAACATGACAGAACGACTGTGAAATGGTTTTTTTCATTTCCTGTGGTTCTTAGTAAAATAGTTTTGTCTCCCAAACTTGCCACAGTTCTGTTGCTTGGAAGATCAAAGGTCATAGGCGTTTCATCCATATTCCCAATATCTCCCAGGTCATAGTTATGGATCCTTCTTTGTTTTATGATGAATGAATGAAATGACATCACTTTTTCATCAAGGTCTTTTGGCAACTTCTGTGAAATCTTCGTTCTTTGCCGCAAACATAGGGCAAACCTATTCATGAAGCGGGTACACCATCCTGCTGATGCAACAAAATTTTCAGTGCCTGGTGCTTTAAATTTGTCATCTTTAGCCATTTGAAGGGCACGTAAGCGAATTCCCATGCGTGTTACACAGTAACCATTTTGACGACACTCCATAACCCATTTATGCAATTCAGTCTCTAGAGCCCCATATGAAGTCGTTAAACCACGTCGAGCTTTTTTTGCCTTTGGAATCTTTTCCAAGTCAGCTTTCATTTTCCGCCACTCCCTTACTTGTTTTTCGTCAACACAAAATTCCCTACTTGCAATACTGTTATTGCTTTCTTCTGCTCTTGACACAACCTTAAGTTTTAAACCAGCTTCGTATGACCTGCGTTTTTGTTTTGGTCCAGGATTAGAAGTAGCGATATTGGGATCCATTTCTAATAGGATAAAAAAAAAGAATTTTTAGGATGGGGGGGCGCCATCTTTTTTGACCCCTCTTACTTCTCATAAGCCCCACTCCTTATAGAATCCA